ATGTAATGTATGTACATAAAAACATAAATAGCTTTAATAAGAATAAGGATGTTCATACCTTAAACACTAGGAACAAACATAAGCTTGTAATGCCACTTACAAGACTCCACAGAATTAGTAATTCATTTATGGGGCAATGTATACGCTTTTACAACAGAATCCCAGAACATGTTCAAAGTTTGTCAATAAACAAGTTTAAAAGTTTTATTAAAGAAAAACTGTACAAAAAGGGTTATTATAATATCAAGGAATACATGAATGAAAATAACCCCTGGGAATAAGGTGATCGCCACCATGCTGGTTCTATGAAAATTCATTTAAAATTGTATAAACAAAATTATTGTTAAACGAAATTATGTTTAAAAAAAAAGTCCCGCTGGGTTTCTTGCTGGTTCTTCCCAGGACAGAGGTATTTTCCGAACCAGTGGTAAATAAAATAATGACTTTCAATAAGTATTATGTAATAATCCATATTGAATAAAAATCATTCTATTCTATTCTATTCTATTCTATTCTAAACTTTATTTAATAATGTAAAATACTATTATCTTAAAAAAATAATTAAATTTTTTAAGTGATTGGTATTCTTGTTTTTCTTCCTCTTCCCGTTGTGTATTGTGTATAGTCCTTCATTTCAACTGCACTGTTGTCATCTCCTGTATATTGTAAGTGTTTCCCTCCTTGGTGTTGGTTATTTCTGTTCTCCTCCATAGAAATGGTGTCAATGTCCTGTTTTGATTGCGCTGAAATATCTATACAAATAAATAAAATTGAAGTGTTTGTTGTTTGTAATGCCAAAATTACAGATTTTTACTAAATGCATATGAAAGTAAATATGGTATTTATAACTAAAATACAGTCTGGCTAATCACCGAAACGGCTGGACCCATTTTGACGGGACTTTCACTGGCAGATAGCTGATTTCATGAGGAGTAACTTAGGCTACTTTTATTTTGGAAAAAGAATTAGGGTTCCGCGTAAAAACATAAAAACCCTAACACGCGAGCGAAGTCGCTGGGAACAGCTAGTCTGAAATAAAATCTAAGTTATGCGGATGAGTTAAAGATAATGAGAAGGTTGGTTTTGCAAAGATGTATCTAGTTGCATGGTCTATATGAACGAAAATGTAAGTATTTCCTGACTCAGTTTTTGCTAATACCACAATATGGTCAGATGAGATTATTTGCATTAGGGTTTCTGGTATTGGTCGGTGTCCCATTGTTTAATTAAGTCTGATTGATTTTGTAAAATTTGTGACAATATAAGGTTATGGACGTACCTGATTCATCCTTTACCGCTTTTTCGTTTTGTAACTGTGCCAATTCCAATTTTACTCCAAATTGCTCAGATTTCTTTCTAATTTTTTCGGATTTAAATTGTTCCATAATTCCATGTTCCAATTTAATAATATTGTTGTTGACGATTCTTGCAATTAATTCGCTTTTTACACCAGAACTTGGTAAAAATTGTAACTTTACTTCGTCCTTCAATTGTTGTACTGTAAATTTTTCCAAATCTTCCGACTCTATTGATTCCATTGTTATGTTATTAACTTTCAATTTTGTTGAAGGTTAATTTCGATTGTAATTTCAAATACTTTATACCTGCCTCGTGGCGTTTATTGAGTTGGCGTCTATATATTATATCTAGCTGAATCGAAGTAAATGAACCGTTAATTTACGCACCTTATGCGTGGTTCCAACAAAAAACTTTTAATGTAAACGTCACTAAACTTATTTATAATATTCGAGACGTGAATATTAATTTAACAATTATTTTTCGCCGAGCGCCATGTAAGATGGAAATGAAACACATATCGCTATTACACGTAATGGTCTATTTTTTCTTTTGACACACTTATATAATTACAACCATCTATGTCGCTTGCACACCATTTACACTGCTTTATTTTTATCTTACTCTTTCGTACCCATATTGTTACCATACTTGTGCGTCACTTTTCACATTAAATTTACGTTCCGTTTTAACTTTTATTCTATTATATATTTAATTTAATAAAATATTATTTTATCGTTTTTTTTTTAAAATAATATCCCGAAGCATATTGTATTATTTGGGGCTGACTTTTTTCCTCTAAAGGTGTAAGGGTAGTCTCATTTACAATATCCAAAAAGATATCACCAGTCGTCGCAGCTTCTCTATTCTTTGTAACAATGAGGGCATGTAGTGCACTGCATTGGTCTTCTTCACAATTTGCTCCAGGGGCATGGGCACTGGACAGGTTATTGACCAATAAAGTTGTTAACACTGATTCGAATCCTGCTGGCGTTGGATTTGTGTTACGGCACCCATGGCTTCTTATGGCCCCAAAGAAATTCTCGATTGGGTCTTAATTAATGTTGTGGTCAATAGCTAATATTTTTACTAATTTTTCTATGCCTTCCAGTGTCCATACACAATTATTAATAGTAGGTACACTTGCAACTTTGGTTTTTTCTGTGATAAATTTCATGGACTTTAAAACTTTTTTGATTCCATCCAAAATTCATGGTGCTTTGAATTAGGTGTTACGGGTCCCAGGAGAGGTTTTAAAAACCTGTTTTTTGTAAAGCTGCCATTGACAGAATCAAAAAGATTTAAAAAAAAAACAGGATCTGCCGTATCCTTGCATTCCGCTGGGAGGATTGCGTTATCTGTAAAACAATAATAATTCAATAATAGAATATGTTTTAAGATTTCTGTGCACAATATATATATATATATATATATATATATATATATATATATATATATATATATATATATATATATAATTGTACATGTACCTATGCTTTCGAATACATGCTTGCATAGATGGTGTACCAATTTACATTTTTACATTTAATGCTGCTGTATTCGTATGGTGGGTGTAGAGAATCGGAGACCCTTTTTACTGGAAAAGAGGCATTCCATCTTAATCGTGACGGCTGACGACGCATCTGCATTTTAATTCGCAAACGAAGATAGATGTAGATGTCTATGAGCCACAGCAACCACTTACATCAGGTGGACCGTGTGCTCGTTTGTCACCCTTATTCTATAATAAACAATTAGAATTGAATTAATTAAAATCCATGGTGGTGAAAATACATACAGAAAATTATCATTTAGATTTAGATTATTCTACAATTAATATACATCATTATGATATAAATAAGCCAAGCTGGCACGGTAAATATGCCATGCAGTTGAGTTTTCATATACGATAGTTACATACTTACGACGGCTCCCTGGCAACAGTGGCTTAGATGAGCGCTTAGGGTCGCGAGTTCGAATCCCGCATTAAATTTAAATCAAATTAACATAGATAGATAGATAACACTTTATTGTACGCCAAAAAATAACAAAAATATTACTAAAAAATGAGAAAAAGAAATGTGGTAAAATAAATAGGCGGTCTTATCGCTAAGAGCGATCTCTTCCAGACAACCTTTGGATGGACAGCATTGCAAGAAAACAATAAAAACGTGTGTGGTTTGCTGACAAAATAACATTATTTTTGTTAAAGCCATAAAATAAAAATATATAATGGTATATAAGTAACTACATAGATAAGATAAATACATATATACTTATTAATATATATGTATAAATATACAAATAAATATATATTTTTATAAATATAAATATATAAAAGTACAAATATATACTTTAAAACTATTACATATAACATAAAAGTGCCATACATATTAACAAATATTGTAACTAAATAAAGGAGAATAATTATATACAAATGAACTAGATAGAATCAAAGTTGAGAAAAGTAATCATGTACATGTTTCTTAAAAACCGGTAGGGATTGAGCGCGTCTTGCTGATAACGACAAGTCATTCCATAATCGAACAGCTTGTATTGTGAACGATCTGTCCAAAAATTTGGTAGTGTGGGCTGGCATTTTTAATATAAAATTTTCTGATGATCTCAAATGTCTCAAATGTGATTCATTGAGGAAATTCAGACCGATTTTTTAGGTAAGAAGGATAGAAAGGATTAAAAAGAATATTATAAAGAAGTGAGAGAATATGAGCATTCCGGCGAAGGCGAATTGGCAACCACTTGAGCCTGTTACGAAAATCTGACACTTGATCATATTTACGCAAACCAAATATGAATCTTATACAAAAATTTTGAAGTCGCTCAGTTTATCTAGTTGCATTTCAGTGAGATCAAGATAGCTGACATCTGCACAATCGAGTATTGGAAGCAGAAGAGTTTGAACAAGCGCAATCTTAGTGGCAGTTTCGTAGTCTTCTCAAAGAAGACGCAGCTGCAAAAATTTTACGACTAACTTCCTGTAACTGAGGACCCCAAGATACAGTTTTATCGATGAATACACCCAAGTTTTTGATAGTGTCACTGGTCGGGATTATATTACCATCAAATACAACTTTGGTTGCTTGTGGTAAATTGCATTTTGTAAGCATATGCGGAGAACCTATAATAATTAGCTGTGTCTTCAGTTGGTTAATTTTGAAACCATAATTTCTGCTCCATTCCGAAATTATTGCTAGGTGACTGTTTATAGTGTTAATAGCTACAGCTAAGTCACTAGGAGTAGCTTGTATATATATCTGAAAATCATCTGCATATAAGTGATAGAAAGAATTTATCTTAGTGGATATTGAGTTAATAAAAACTGAAAAAAGCAAAGGTGATAAAACGCCACCCTGTGGGACACCTGGTTTGTGCTGATTCGTGTAATATAATAATATCTATAAGAAAGTATTATTGCTGAGCTAAATATCGCTGATCCTCCTCCTTGAACACAAAAACATCACATTCTTGATCTTACCTGCAAGGTAACCCCTAGTGGAAGACACAGTTCTACTGAACACTTGGCTGGCAAATTTTACTTTCATTTTCGTTCGCATGTTCGGATCAACATGACTATCAGACAACTTAGGCACTAATCGGATTTCTTTATATGCAGGATTTTCTTCCTGTAATTGTTTAATGTGATCCCATTTAGCAGTCTTTTCTTTATTATCAGTTGTATACCTTCAATTCTTCTCTAAAAGATTATTTCGTATAGCTTTTAACAAATGTGGGTGATCATATAGTGGAACAATTTTCTTGTCATTAATTATTATTAATTTCGTGTCTTCTCTGTCTTTTTGTCCATTTCTAAGCATATGTACACTGGTTTCATTTAGGAGAAAACTTAAGGCATTTCTGTTATTAGTGCCTCGGTCACATACTGTAGCTACTACATTGGAGCCAGTTTCTTGCAAGTTTTCTATTATTGTTTTAATTTGCAAAGCCAGCTCTGGGCCTTTAGTGGCCACCTGTGCAAATGTATAAGCAACAGGTTTTTGTGTTTCATTATGAGACCCCTGATAATAAAAACCTGGGCATGGTCTGCAAATTTAGGTTTTGTCTCGCGTCCATTATTAACAACACCTATCACCAAATTTTTTCTTTCATTGTATGTAATGTCAGCTTTTAGTGACATTTCGTCAAACATTAATATGCAGAGTTTGTCTGCTGGCTTCATTTTATTTGCTGATGATTTAAGTAGAGCAAAGACATTATTGTTAATACCAGGCCTTATATTGGCCTGGTTCAAAATGTTGTCAGTATTTGCTGAGAAGGTAAAACTAACATTCTTCGCAGAAAGCGATAACCTTTGGGGCTTTGCTTCAGCATTACCAAAGATAATATTTTTTCTTTAGTAGAAAATCTTCTCCCTTTCACTTTCTTTTTATGTTCTCTGAACTGTAACATAGTTAAAACTTTAGCAGCACTTGGTTGGTTAACAATTTGTAACAGTAGCTATAAAGTTGCTACTCTTCATAAAATTTTTGGCTGCTTTTAATTGTAATGATTGCTTCTGCGCTCTGTTCCGGCATTTTGACAATTTAATTCTCATTTTTACCAATTTTTGGTATAAATTATGCTCCTTTTTGGTCAATTTTATACGATTCACTACTTTTTTAGTAGTGTTCGGACCTGCAAATAAGATTAAGCTATTAGAAAACAAGTTAAGTTAGGCATTTCTTTTTATTATTATATTAAAAGGATTATTTAATCATAGTGTCTGAAGTACTTTTCAACAATTTATATTTGATGATAAATAACAATTAGAAAGATTTTGTTATGATCGAAAACCGAAACTATGAGAAATAGAGAAAAGTTGTCTAGGAGTTGTCCCCTCGACTCTGACAAGAACAAAAACTGCATTTTGAGATATGTGAATAGCACCCAGTAATTAACAATTAAAAAAAACTTGTAGATGTTATAATGAGTGTATTAATACAACTTCCTAGAAATTTTCTTTCTGTAATTTTAAATCATACTAGCTGTGGCCCACGGTTTCACCGGAGCTCTGTTCCTAAGAGTTGTAGCGTGCAACATAATGATAGAGTACATGATCATACTCTATCTTCAGGTTTCTTTTTTTTTCTATAAAATTTAAGGAAAGGACACTCACCATATTTATCTTGTAGTGTGCATTCTTGTGTTTAAGATTCTCAAAAGTTACATATAGTTCAACAGTGGCTGGAATGCAAAAGATATCATTAAGTTTATTTGTTAATAAAAAAGGTACAGTAGGTAGTATATGTAGGTAGTATATTGGAGCTACTCTATATATAGTGCAGTAACATTGATAGCGCGATTTAGGTTTCGGTGCGTTTCGCTTGTGGCGCGACTATAGCGCCGCCACACAAATATCTCAATAGTTTTTTTTACAGAAGCAAATATATATCAAATTTCAGAGCGGAACATTCAGGCCCGCTTTGGGACGAGTTGTTTCACCTTTGAGGCAAATTGTTACAACAATATACAATCGGAATAACATAGGTTTTCGTAAATAAAGGCAACCATTTCTATAAATGTATACATGTAATATTGTATATATTTATGTAAAGTCAGCGTCAGATATAAGGGAGTAGTCAAGGTGGTCAAATATTTTGAAACATCCAAAGTGAAAATAAACATTCAACCATCCATAGTCGTCAAATTTTGAATTTTGCATTAATCTTGCTCAAATATATCGAAACACGTACAACGTCAAATATATTTGATCATTTAAACCGTTCAAATTTATAGTAACAAACAGAACGCCAATGGTATCCAAGCAGCCAAGGTATTTATAAATTGGGAACACTTTAGGAAAATAAATTTTATCTTGATGATCCAAGATTGAATTTTGAATAATTTGAAAATTCCATCCATGCAATTAACACAACAGCAAGAAAATAAAGGAAATTTTCTTTAATTAAAATAATAACATTGATTAATAAAATTAAAATAGATAAAAACTAGATAAATTTATTTCAATAAAAAAAATATGTATAAAATTTTGACTTTGATGCTGATGAAATCGAAGTAAGAGCGGAGGTACACTGTTTATAAGGACAAAAAGACGATATGCCTTTGCATTAACTCTGTCATTTATAAAAAAAAAACAGTATCGTAGGTATTAAAATTTGAAACTAAAAGTAAAAAAAATTACCTCTCTATGAACTATTAAATAATCAAATCATTTATTTACAGTCCAAGTGTACATAATTGATATTAAATTAAAAATGTGCTTACAACTAGACGTCCTTTTCAGGCACTGCAAATTTGATGAAGACACTGCTTATATACATAAAATATAAAATATACTTAGAAGCTATATATAAAATATACTTAGAAGCTAGATAAATATAAAAATACATAATAGTGTTATTTTTTATCTGAACACTCCTCCGATGAATAGAAGGGGTTTTGTTTTAAATATTTACTGAGTTTTGATTGAAATTTGATTAATTCTGATATGTTGTTTATTTCCTGTGGTAATTTATTATAAATTTTTATTGTCATATAGTAGGGGCTTGTATTTAATATTTTTTGTTCGCGACTGTGATAGGTTCTTTTTCTTTATCTGAGTTAATTTAAGTTACCTTAATATTGTCGTCTTCTTGGTCCGCATCTGTGCTGAATATCTTGTCATGTCTAAGTTTTTAATCAATTTAGGAATACCTTCTTTAAGCTTCTGACGAAACATGTTCTACGGCTGTGGGGGAAGATTCAACGGGATGCTATTGGGATCTTTGATGAGTTGCAAATAATCAACCCTCTCTGGTTTTCCGAAGTCTAATAGTCTATACACACATGCGCGAAATAGGTTGTTTTCCAGAAGATGACGGAGTACACTCAACCCTAGGCTAATAGCATCTTGTGTTGCTCTGTCCGCAAACTGAGGATAGAGAACCACTGGGTGACCCCCCCAACGAGTGGTTCATCATAAGAAGGGTGGCCATCCACTCATCTGACATTTCCAAAAGGTCTGGGTCGCCTCAAACACCGTTATAATGTAAGCTGGGAGAGGGGTTGTATCGTCGCCTGAAATGGAGGCACTGCTCGAGAAGAGACACGGTGTTTACTGTATGTATCGCCTGATTGGCCTCGCTTGTGAGGCGTGGGGCTTTCCTTTATGGCGCTTACTTGTAGCCTATCTAAGAAGTATCTTCTTCCATACTCGAGCAATCTCCGTGATCTCCAAGACTCTGGCACTTTGATGACTATGCTTGATTTTGTACACATTCCTTCCAGAACATGTAGGATTTGTCGGGTGTAGCTGTCAGTGATTAAATTTCTGTCTTTAAGATACTTCTTTGAGGGAATGCGCAGAACGATAACTTGGCTTGATCAGCTATGATCATTATAAGGATTGTGGTCAATGTCCAGCCTTTCTGTCGCAACCCTTCCAACCAGGCCTCTGGACCATGCACGCACTGGGGCCCTTCCATAGGCGCTCCTAGAGGATCTTGGTTGGGCGGGGCATATCTGTCCTGAAAGAGCAATGTTTTTATTAACGGAAATGTGTGAGAGAAACTATACACTTTTGAGAAGCCAAATAAAGCGTCTGGGCTCTTGAACAGGGGTTTCAGCAGCTCTGTACGAAAATGCGTACACCATGACGAGAAATCTATAATTATATTGACATAATCTTCGTCCTCCCTTGGACAACTCATTCTATTCAGTGTCTTGGTCAACTGTTCCTCCGACAAAGTCATTGACTGATGTTTCACACAACGGAATAAGGTTTCTGCGATATTCTTTTCCGTGTCTACTTGGTACGCCCGCATCTCCAGTGTCATTTTGCCTTAGCAGCGGGCGTCCACCTCCTTGAACTCCCTTTCTCTAGGAACAGCCACCATAACTCTCCAATCGATGGGTATCACTCCTTTGTCGATTAGATCTATTAGTTCTTTACAGTCGAATACCTCAATGGCAAGGTAGTGCATGACCACGCTCTTTGTTGTGGGTGGGGGTCCCATAGGAAACCTGCCGTGTATAGTGCGGAAGGCTTTGTTATCAAATTCATGCAACCATTCGAGCAGCCTGGGTATTATTGCCTTGTCGGATATTATATCAATAGCATCCACATGGTAGTCGAATTCGAAATTCTTTAGGAGGATGACTCCGTTAAAGTCCTCTGGGTCGTCTGAAATTGTTAATTGCAATTTTAAGTGCTGATTAACCACGTGCTCAGCGGTTAAGGAAAACACCGTGAGGAAACCTGTGTCTGAAAAATAAAAAAAATATTTCGAAGACATGTGAAGTTCGCCAACACGCAATGGGGCAGCGCGGTGGACACTTTCTTGTCCTAAAACCCTCTCAAAAATGAGAGGAGGCCTGTGCCCAGCAATGGCGTAAATAGGCTGTACCTTTAACTTTAAGTTAATATTAAATCTGAGATTTAAATAGTAATCTACGCTATAATTTTTTTTCATAGGAGTTTGTGATCATCAAAATTTATCATCTTTAAGCTAAAATAATATCCTTGTTACTTAATTTGACCAAGCTTCAAGACAGACTTCCAAATATTTTCGAAACTAATAGTATCAATCTTTATCTACCTACACCCCATATAAAAAGTACACTGTACTATACCCATAGTACATAGTTTTTCCTGGATTGTTACGTAGCCAATTGTCTTGGGCTATGGTACAGTATGTGTTAAGAGGCCCGTTGACGCCAACATCCAGAGGTTGCAGCATGTGGGCGCGGTGAGAGGCAAATGTCAACATAAGGCTGGAGTTGGCTTTAGCTTTTTCAACTACGTTTATGTCAATGTGTGAGGAGTGATTGTCTTATAATATTAGTAATAATAGGGTTTAGTAAATTTTATGAAATGGTCCATATAGGTGAAGAATTCAGTGGCAGTCACCCACCCTCAGCTGTTCCCAACTCCGACTGACTCAGGTGTCCATCCCGTAAAAACATGCCTTTGTAATTTAAACGTGGAAACACAAATATTGCCGGTATCGTATTTATCGTATCGATTCGCGTTCGTACTGGCTGTTAGCTCCAGAGTTACCAAAGTGCCGCGCTCAACAGCACCGACCTGTTTTGTACCTGTGACCTCGCTTCATGTTACGTTCAATCAGACCTCTTATAACAGGGGGATTTCCTGTACGCTACCGATTCAAGAAACCCAACACATCAGGGCCCTATTATTTTTTAAGAACCGCGTTAGTTCTACACTGTTGTAGTAATTGTCCATTACTAGACAGTGGCCTTTAATCAAGATAATCAGTAACCAATTTTATGACAACTTTGCTTGTGGCTCCTATTAATCCATGCATTACTGGTGTTTGTGCTGACTGTTTTGTATTTTTTCTAGTTTATATTATCTTTTTAGTAAATAGCCTGATTCCGATTCACCAATTTCGTAACCTTTTATTCCAAAGCGAGCTGCTTTTATGCGGGTACATTGAACCCAAGTTAGTCGGCCTATCCATAATAATAATGATTCTATCAAGGCTTAAATGCTGTTTCGGAAAGCACATTTCCCTGAAATTTCTATTACATTGTTCTAGAATTGGGGCTATTTTAAGCAGTTTGCGGTCATATCCGTGAGTCATTACATCAACATCATCGTTATTAACAAAATGTAAAAACCGCAATGTAAGTATAAAACGATTTTTGGACATTATTTGCCGAAAATGGGGCATTTCCAAAGTATCAGTTGTCCAATATTCATCTTTGCGTCCTCTATAACATAAACTCGTGTAAATCAAAACAGAAAAAAGACGTAAAGTTCTTCCACAGTTACTTCAACCCAGTCATTTAATCGTGAATTCGGCTTCAATGCACCTTCGACTTCACTAACACGTTCAATAGTCTGCCAAGAATATTCATTTGTTTGATGCGCTATTACTTGTATAATGTTGTGATCCCACACGGTTTGAAATAAATCTAAAGGATCGTTAGATGACATTGTAGGTCCTGATTGTTCGGTAAATGATTCCAAAACACCTGTAAATATTTGGAAATCATCAAACCAAGAAAAATCATCCATGTTGGTTGGTGTAACTTCTTCGTCATCGTCGTGGATGTCATCTGATTCCAATATTTGCCTAAGTGTGTCTTCAGTGATATCTTCATCGTGGCTTATTTCACTACCCGAGTCAATTGCTAAAGTATCGGCATCCGGCGAAAGAAAGATTTGGTCATCTGGATCATTAGCCTACAACAATATTTTTGGTTGATATTATTATTACTACGAAAGTTTACAAAACTAAAAATACGAGTGGCCTTGTCCTATTGGCTATGTTCCGAACTGGTTGTAATTGAATAGAACCAAAAAGAGAACCTACGGGATTCTGTGACCAGGCTACCTTTTTCCATTCGTCTTCATCTGCATCGGATCCGTCTGAGTCCTCAATTTCTGATGGATCAAAATCTTCTTGAAGTTCACGTTCTATAAGTGAAGGACTGTGTCGCGAACTTCTTGGTGGGGGTGGCTGCATAACATTTTCATTTAAGGGCCCTGGTTGAGGTGATGATGTTGGCCGAGGGCTTAGTTCTGGAAAGATCCTAGTGTTGATTGGGTCATAGTTATTTAACGACAAAATGCCAGAAAAATCTTCTACATCGGAATCCTCCGCTTCATCTTCAGATCTCGCTCCATCACTGAAACCAAATAATTCTTCTAACGCTCTTTCTACTTCATCAGGTTTCAGATTCACCTCACGACGATCCATATTCCTTTAAAATACACAAAAGAAAATATAAATATATAGGTACCTAATACAATACTAAACTGGTATTGGCCAACATGTTGCCGTCGTACCCTTACGGCATACAGACAGTGGCATATATATTGCCGACATGATTTTCGAAAATTACGTAAACAATATTTATTGTTTTCCAAAAATATTCAATGATTCGTCAAGAATAATAAACAACTCATAAAATAAATGTAAGTACTTACAAAAAGGTAGTCCAGATTTCGAGATAAATCGAGATGTAACTGAAAACCACAAAATACGTACTTCGTCACGAAAGTCTTTCTCTGACAAGTGACAGATGTCAATGAGGTCGCATGTCATATTTTTTATTTATTTAGTCCTTCGTTCTCTGTTGCAAAAATCAAACAACCATAATCTGTTCGTCTGTACTGTCGAAAATGTGAAAATGAGAACATGATGGCATATATATTGCCATTGTCATTCAAAGGGTTAAAAAATATTTATTTATTAGTTAATATTTATTTTGTCCCCTTCAAAGTAATCTCCCTCAGATACAATACACTGGTGCCAACGCTTTTTCCAATTCTCAAAGCACTTTTGATTAGCACTTTTAGTATAGTCAATCACTTCAGCTCATCCAGCGATGCGGTTTTATGTCCACAATGGTTGCAAAACGCCGTCCTTTCATGGATTTCTTAAGTTTCGGGAACAAGAAAAAGTTACAAGGAGCTGAAAGGGTGAATACGGTGACTGTGGCATGATTATGGTGTTATTCTTGGCCAAAAAACATCTCTTCAACGATGCTTATGCGACGGTTCTTTTGGTCAAAATTTTGTAATTTGGGAACAAACTTCGCTGACACAAGTCTCATGCCCAAAACATCCGTTAAAATTATGCACGAACCAAATGAATACCGATGTCATCAGCACCTTCTCTTATGGTAATTCGACGATTACTCAACACTATTTTCTTCACTTCTTCAACGTTCTCCTCAGTTGATGACGGGCTGGGGCGTCCAGTGCGAGGTTCATCATTGGTGTCTTCTTGGCCGTCGTGGAAGAGTTTATACCACTTGTAAACATTTTTTTACTTAAAGTAGACTCACTGTATGCCACTGTCAACATTTCAAAAGTTTTAGAGCACTTGATTCCATTTTTTACACAAAAATTAATGCACTCTCCTTGATCCATGTTTTTCGACAGTGGAAAATTGCCGAGCACGCAAATTACTTCTGACCTTAATGCCTCTCACAAACAAACAAAAAATGCTATACACTTGAAACTTTTCACAGACGCTCAAGACAAGTGTACCAACATAAAAAAAAGAAATCGAAGGTCGAACGGACGTAGCCCGCGAAATTTGATAAGTCACCTTACTTTTTGATCACACCTCGTACATTGTATTGTTCACTGGGCGTATAGGAGAAATAAAGTCTGCGCCGCAATGCTATATGTTATTTTGTACAATAAATTTTACAATGGGCCTTACGAGATTATTTATTAAATCTTTAATAGAATTACTTTACGGAAATCCTAAAAAAATTATATTAAAGTTGGTAAAAATTACCTCGCATACATCCGCTCAATAAAATAAAATGATGTGTCTCCCGCCCTTCCTCAATTGCGTGCGCTATCCCCGTCACAACTAACCCCAGCACTACTACTCCCAACACCACTACACTAGGAAAGAGACACCACTGACGACAATACGACACGTGTTTCGCCTCTACACGAGGCATCTTCAGGTATGTAGACTGCGGTGGCTGAGTGAGCGGCGAGCCAAAATAACTGCTATTTATACAGCCCGCTGACGCAACCGCTCCCTATTTAAGTAGCGAGCATGTTTAAGCGCATGTTTTATCGCATGACGCAGTCACTATCAAATATTATGTCAAGAATCAACACAAAAGATATTAAGCTTCTATATTCTTCTGGCAAAACTCCACTTTTTGTCAAATGTTCTGTAGCATAGCAACAGAGTAACTGTAAGTTTGTACTGCAATTTTTTACTTTCATCCTCTTTATTTTTGCAGAGTT